TGTACCTTTGCCTGCTAGAACGGATCGAGTCAGCCTTTTGCATCGTTTCCATGGCCGAATCACGACGAGTTCACTCCGCCGTCTTACACCGAAGCCCTGCACTGTCTCGAGTCCCTGGGGAGACCTTCTTTTTCCTCCTGTCTATCTCTCTATCTTTCTATCCACTTGACACCCGATCAACTGGAAAATACCTCCTCGACCGCGAGAAGGACTCTCCGGACCAATGCGGTGTGAAGTTTCACCGGAGCGTTCTGGCTTTTTACATCTCACATCGCTACACGCACCGTTTTTTAGTCGGTTAGGCCTATTAACACATGGCGCGTTGTTCAAGCGGATTGCGCCCAGTACATTTTTAGCGCGTGACCCTCCGGTTTGGATCACCCGGCCGTATGAAGCGAACTGCGGCGGGGTTTGTAGGGCAAAGCTATGCAGGGGAATCTTCTCCGTGTGAACGGGTTTTAATCAGATATGACTCGGTTAAATTGTGTGGCAAGGCAGGAAATACCAAAAGCTGGTTAGGCTACAATAAACTCTCATAACGTCATGCACGCCGCGTTTGTCAAGTGTATTATTGTTGAACCTTACGTAGGCGTTGTTTTAAGTTTAAGTGCTGACCCGTCACACCTTGAAAACGTTTCATCATAATAGTCACAGACTGCGATTAGTTTTTACGGAAAACTCCGCTCTTCCTATAGTTTATTGCAACGAGCGCCGGGGCGGGTTGCAGCAGTGATATCCAACAATCTATTTCTTTTAATTAAACTGAAAGACAAATCGCAGAAGACTGGGTAGACATTGCACTGATTGGATCAAAGAGCCTCCAGCTATATACGGCACTCTACACGAAATCCACATACAAAGAAATCCAGGGTTTTTAAAACTTCCTTTTCTATTTCACCTTGATACTCTCCTCATCTCCCCTTCCTCTTCATCATCTTCACAACATCGACGAAAAAGACTCTTTTTTTTCAATTACCATTACGGCGAATTTGGTCCCCGCTCACGCCGCATTACCCTCGCCCGGCCGCGTTGGGACCGTCTCCTAATCCCGCAGACTTAGCCGCAGCTTACCGGCGGCTTATCAGCCCTTGCTCCGCTAACTCTCCCCGGTCCCGCACTGGGACCAGTACTTAGGCTGATTGCCTTGTTTTAGCAAACACGGAGATTACATTGACGCTTTGTTTTGGTTGCAGATTGGGGAAAGCTTAAGTCGGACAGGTTGCTTCGAGAGAAGAAAAAAGACAGGGAGAACTAAACGTGAGGGGACAAAAATTAAGAGAAGACTGGTCACCAAATGTGCTGTCTGTGTCGCGTGAAAATAGGACCGTATGGCGTGTGTTATCTTCATCAGTGAAAGAAATTGGAGAAAAAAATCAGAGTATGAATGAAAATGTCCTGAGATATTGCGCATTAGTCACGCAAGGATTAATTCCTGATTGCTCTCAACCAATCTTCTAAAATCAAACGAATATCTATGATTGTAAATGATACAAATCTCGTTTCTCACAGTATTTTCCTCGGCATTTCAAATTCTTTCGTAGTCGACTTCTCTTTTAAATACACTTGACCGAGAAAAGAATCAAAATGTGACAAGAAACTCCGGGTTGGCTATAGGCTTTATTCATGAGTCGGCCATATTAAATTGAAAGCGAGGTAAAATCTTCATTTTTGGAACTTGCGAAGAGAAATGAACTACAAATTAATACCAGTCTGATCTGATGAATAATTAACAATTTGTGATTAATCATGCCCTAATGTTTTAAGCCACATTAAAAAAAATGAGGTTAGAATGAATAAATAGTCTGGCACCATTCCATTCAACAGTTCACAATCAGGGAACACGTGAATAAGGTCCATATAGGTGCAGCTTATAATCACTCTAAATCCTTATTCTTGTCTGGAATATTGACTTGAAAATATACGGCGTATGGGGATGAAACAACTATCGTGCGTTTTTCATGGAGACTAGATTTCCAGTCGCTTGTCAAGAACTAAAGGGAAGCCAGTCAGTAATTTACATTTTTATTTCAAAGAGTGTATCTTTAGCTATCACATCCTAGCTTTATTTCCATACATTTTCTCCTCCCCAACGACTATTTCGTGTTCACGCGCCTTCTTCTGTCCCACCTCATAAAGTTTCAAATCTTTTTCCAATCCAGTTATTTCTTTCCTTTGTTTTCCTTTACAATCCGTTTCTATCTCTGTGTCTTCTGACTGAACTCCACAAAACTAACATTAAGTAAGATAAGTGTAAGATTTGTTTGTGCCCTTAATATTTAATGCAATGCACGGATACTTGATATACGCATGTACTGAACTACGATGAATGGATATTTAAAAGACTCATAAACACTCATACTGAACTTATATCAGCCGTACCGTTTTTAACCAATTCATACAACAAATTCAGTGTCAGTTAACACATCGATAAGCTATTAAATGTTTTAACCAACTGAATGAATATGCTTGCCTTTTGTAAACGTTTTAGTTACAGTATTCGCAAATACACGTGAGTATAAACACCAACTGTCATCCCTAAAAAGAAAAAAAAGAATGATTATATAAACTGAGAACTGTACCAGATCAGAAATTACTCGCCAACAGAGGGCGTAGTTTAAAGCCCTTCCATCGGAGACTGAGCCTAACTGAGTGTTATTACAGCCGGTTTTTTTTGCTACTTTGTCACATGTTTAAATACAATGTAGCATTTTTTTACTGGAACAGAGTTTAACTAAGCTATGAACTTGTGCCTCTAATTTAAAAATCAACAAATAACTCACAAGATACATCCAATTGGCATTATGTTACGCTAATATTCAATTCAAACATAATTTGTGCGCGAACAATTTTTTTTCGTGCCACAAAAACATGAAGTGACCCGTGCTTGCTCGGCCGCCATCTGCGTAAGATGTATGCAAGGCAGCAACGGTTTCTGATTGGCCAGTATTAAATAGGGATCGAGCGCCCTCTTCTGGGACAATCTTGTTTTGTACGAGACGATTGCACAGGTCTCAAAAGCATTCTGGTCGCAAACGGACCTTTTTGGGTGGGGGTGAGGGGGGGGGGCGGGAGGTTAGAAACGAAACGACATGAAGAAATGGTAAGTAGAATAAAAAGCCGTTGACTATTTGAAGTCATTTAGCGACGGTATTTTTTGTCAATAATGACAAGCACTCAGTTTGGAACTGAATGGACCGTTAGCGTACAGATACAGCCTGGGGCCAGCGCATGTTTCCCTCGGTAGATACCGGGAAGAGAGGCTGTCGGTGACCCGGTACATTGGCTGATTAGTGCGGGCCGACAGACACCGTAAACTTGCGCCATTAGTCTAGGGTGCGGTAGCCGTACAACTTACGGGGATGGGAAGTGTCTTGATCGCGGCTCTGGTGTGCAGTGTAGGCGACTACAATATTTACAAGGACAATTCCTCTAAATGAAGATGTTTCTTGATTGTTTTTAACTTAAGATTTACATAATAAATACATAGTTTTAAATAATCAAAACGAACTTTGCTATTAAAGATAATACGTTATTTATTTGCACAAAAGACTAGAGTAATAAATATTTTTAGACCAAAATTGACTTTGGAAATCATGTGCATATTTTATTAAGTGCATGCTGCATCAACAATATACAGCGGTAAGTTACACCTTCAATTAACTCTTTTTTTACCACTACATGTACCTGCATTTTGCTTTCAACTTTGCAGATAACATTTTGAGTATATTGAAATTATTTACATGCCCAGAAATGGTTAATTATGTATGTACTTGATCAGCCACACGACACGACAGAAATTTCAAAATATCCAATCCCAATACACTGTAAGGGATTGTAATCCGAAGACCTTATCATTCAGTCTGATAGTCAACTTATATGCCTAGTAGGTATTGCGGATCAACTGTGACCGGAAAAAATGCTGGTAAAGCAGCTACTATACTTTACAATACGGCATACCCTAGAGTTAATTATGTGAATGGACTGTGTGACATTATGTGAGCAATATTGTACCTAAACGTTGCGGGTGATATAAATATGTACACAGTGCAGAAGTCATTGCCAAGATGACTATAGACCGCTTGCAGATGCGTTCGATAATCGACGCACGAAGGCGCGCGACGCCATGTTGTGGGACAAGCGTATATCTATCTATGCACATTTTGTCCCATAACATGGCGTCGCGCACCTTCGCGCGTCAATTATCGATCGCGTCTGCAAGCGGTCTATACAGGATGAAACTAACTTCACGGTAAGGCAATCCTTGACATGTAACGCAAAAAACCCCACCAAACTATAGCATCCAGGATGATTTTTTGAAGCAGTACATTGGGTTAATAAACAGGATGTCCCGATCGTTGGTTATTCTTAGTAGGATATTTGGTCATTTCCTTCAACATTAGTATCCAAATTTCCGATCCGAATACTGATTTTACACCAATTAAGGTGAAGCAGTTGGGCAAAATATGCCCAACCTTTTTGAAACTGTCTCTGTGATGATTGGTGCGCTACTTAAAGTAGACAGCTCGATACTCCCACAAAAAGGCTGGACGTTAACCGCAAGGTGTCGAATAACGTACACTATAGTATAAATCACAGTGATATTGTACTACAAAAAGTTGCTATGTGCAATTTCTGGTAACGGCGAATGGGCGTCTTTTGCATTGAGAAATTGTTATGTAAAGAGACCCACCGTCTGCGGCACACACTGAAGGGACTTCGAGGGAGGCCTTGCCCTGGAGTTCTTGTTCTTGTTGTGAAGTACCTTTCAAGGTTCCATTGGTTGACTTATAACGATCTTGGGTTTGTTGGTCTGTGATATAGACAATGAAAAATGGTTTCTCAATAGCGCCGACAGCAGTTACAATTGTAAAACTGCTAATGCGTGCATACAACTTCACGAATTGAGTCAGTGACAGACCAGTTTGAAATTTGGTGCAATGTGCATGGTCAGTGCTGTTCCATTTATTCAGATATAATTGACACCAATTTTCAAAGCCTAATCATTCACCAGCTACAGTTTGAAGACCCACCATTCTTCTGAAGCCGGCCCGGAACTGTTTGTATTTGACGGCGTAGATGAACGGATTCACGCAAACATTTACCGTAAGGGTAAAAGCGCCAAAATAAAACAGGATACCACTGAATTGAACACTTCCTCCAAGATCGAAGACTAAGAAGATTGTCGAATGGGGGAGCCAGCAGATGACGAAAACAACAAAGACGAGCAAGAGGGTCTTGAAGGTGTTACGCCTTGCCCGAAGGAGGGACTCTCCCTGGGTTTCTGGCTGTGAGGTGCCTGCTGCAGTACCGGTAGTTGGTGCCGTACCTTCTTGGTTCTCTTGGTCAGCAGCAGGCCTTGTCAGTGTAGCCAGACCAGGAGCCACTCTGTCTGCACTTCTCTTCAGGACAATAGTGATGTGCATGTAAGACACCAGCATGACCAATGAAGGGATGAAAAAGTTGAGCATGACCACTGCTACGCCCAACGCACCCACACCAGACGCACGAGCGCAGTAGCCATTCTGATGGTAGTTAATAACAACAGCAGCACCGCAAGAAACGACGAATCCTAGAACCCATCCAGCTGCGAGGAATGCTCCTACTGCTTTGCGTTTACCGAATATCTTTGGATAAGTGTAGGGGTAGACAATGGCAATGTAACGCTCTAAAGTGACTGTCATCAAGTTATATGTCGAAGCCGTAAATAAGGAAAACTGGACTGCGTAAGCATTGTAAACCCTGCAGAGAAGAAAACCGGCTATACCACCAGGAATATTGACACCGAGAAGGTCCGGCATGTTGTTCCGTACAGCCATGACGAGAGATCCGAACAAGTCGATGGCTGCTTGGTTGAAGATGAAAGCATTGGTCGTGGTATGCATGGAGGAGACACGATAGATGACAAGGCAAACTAGGCCATTGCCAAATACACCAACGACTCCCACCAGTGTTTGGTAAACTCGAAGCAAAAGCGCTGCGTCCATTCTGCTGCTTGTTGTGGCTTGCTAGTAGATGAAAATGTCAGAATTAACAACTATCCTCAATCTTTTAACATCTGCATCGTCAGTTGAGAGAATTAAGCTACGTCATTTGGAAAAACTTAAATTAACTTAATGAGGTCATAATTTGATAACATTTTTTTGTGAAGAGCCTGAGCTCATTAAAAGCGAGTCCAAGTGGAAACCTTTCAAGTAAGCTTCTTAATTCTATGCTAAAAAAGGATTCACTCGAGCGTTTTCCCTGGAGTCAATTCGCAAACGATCATTATTGTATCCAACCTTATCCACATTAAGTTTTGTTTTGCAGGTTCGTTTCGCTTGCACATACACTTTACAGTTGATCGTTTGCTCGCCTTTCATGAACACGAAAAATAGAGATTTTGTTGCTAACTCTTTCGAATAAATTACTCCTCTGCAAGCGGAGTCGTTGGGTGATTCCTGGGCCTTTGAATGTTGGCACAGAGAGCAGTTCTGTGGGGAATCCTGCAACAACAAAAAACCCTGCGTGTTGTTGTTCCTGAGTCTCGGTCTTTATCATTCCACGGTAGTTCAGTCCGGTTAAACTGCCATAAACACCTCATGCGTCATGATGACGTATACGGCTGTTGCTCTGATGACCAAAGACGTTTACATTGGTGCTTCTGGCATGGTGCCATAATTTCAGAATGTTTTGTCCCCTTTTAATTCCTGTTCATGGTAATTAACGAGTTTGTTTTTGTGAACCAACAATGATATGTCTACGCAACAGTGCCCCTACTGTCAACATCTTAGACAACTTTTCTCTCTTCTCTGATTCATCGCAGAGCTTTGGAGCTCACAAGTGTCGCTCCTTTTGTCTTCTGAAATCCCATAAAATTTTCCTCTCGGGGGTGGCAAAGTGTTAATGATTGTGTATTAAAGTTGACTGTTTGTCACTTGCCTCATACGCCCTCTATTGGCAACACTGAGCCTTCCTTATCAAGGAAAGTCAACAATCAGTTATCACACAGTCAGTTCTATCAGAGACGATCCTGGTATATGTTAACCCAACAGCGACTTTCTTTGTATTTTCGCAACCATAAAATACCATATACCGCTTTGTGTCCATTATAATGTCTTACGTCTTGGGATATCTGCGGACAGATTCGTCGCGTTCTAATCTCTCATTTGTTTTCTTCTGTTCTGTCTTGACGCGTATTGTTTCCCAACCGGCGGGGCACAAACCTGTCTATCACTCTCTTCTGATAACCAATCTACTCTCACCCCCCTAAGTGCCACTTGTCGCAAGCAATTGACTGCCAAAGGACATCCCTATATAAATAACACGGTCATAATATGAAAATTGATACAGCGGACCGCGAGCAGGGCATCCCGAGGACTGGAAGTCAAAGATACATCCATCCGGCATCGGGTGCTGGTCAGATTTTGGCTCCCGACGGCTGTTGCGTGAATGGTGTCTCGTATTTGCCTTTACCTTGCCTATTGGTTTAACTTTTTTGGCAAGATCTGACATGCGCTCTGTTGGATTGCTCTTTAAAATAAAATAAAAAATCCTGCATCCTAGACACAAACTAGTTGTTATATGCGAATAGCAAGAGAAGTAATTATAGATGTCGATACGAATACGTTATTTTATCGTGTTTTGTTTCTGATATTATTATACAAATAATGTAAGTATTGCTTAAACCTGAACGAAACAAGGACATGATCTGCATGTAACAGCAGGAGATAACTGTGTTTCATTCCTCTCCTTAGACGACACTGCGCGCAAAGTGGCGAGGAGGGATCCCGCGACGTCTTGATGTGTGTACGGTTGCGTGTGTGTGTTTACCGTGCACTAAGTGGAGGTGAAACCCGACCGCCATGTTTCGCTACGGGAACGGTGTATGGCCGGGACGGCCGGGCCCGAGTCATCGGTAGCTGATTGCCAACGATTTCCCGCCCCGTATCGAATGTTTATCACCCCTCTCCATGCCCGCAGCGCCGTTTGTAATCTGCTAAAATGATGTGTCTGTATATTGCTTCTGTCTCATCCCCATCCATTTTTAAGGAATGTGTGATTTCGGAGCATCGAACAAAGTGATCGGTCAAGATGGATCCGTTATGGGCAATTCTAACCATGATTTGTGTGTGTTTGCGAGATATTCGCAGTGCACACTGGGTTGCCTTTCTTCTTCTTCATATCTTTCAAATTGCCGTACGCCAACTTGTCACAAGCCCGGGACATGCCTCCCATTCTGACGTATTCGCCGAAGAAGTCACATCTCGTCATCCGATACGCCGACCAACGCTTTGTGGCCACGGCACGCCATATTTTCACCAGCAAAAATACACATGTTTACTTTGACGATTCCCACGTGAAATCAAGGATATGAAGTGCTCTAATCGCTGGCCTTTCAGTGGGGGAAACGGAGCATGCGGAATTCCGAGGTTTTTTCGCTGCCGTGGCCCAGATACAGGCGGCTGGCCGTAAATGGCGCGCTCTGTTCCCCCAGAAGGCGGGCCGTTACCGTACCTGCCATCTGGCCCGCGTCTGCTTCAAACTCAAACGGTTAAACATTGGCCGCATTCGCCCCAAGGCAAGCCGCCAGAGATAAACTTAGCAATTTCATTATAATTTCTTCCCTATTAATGAGAGCGGTAAAGTTTGGGGTTTGGGGTAAACGTAAATCACATTATGGAACATCTTTGTTGGTGTTCTATTTAGGTAAACTAAACATACATTTGTCATACCACGGGTGGTGTTATACAGTAGTGCCGTGTAAATGCATTCATTGGCTTTTAAAAAAATGTTACTGTGGGTTTTTAAATGTGACTAATATAATTATCACCATATTAATGATCTTCGAAAACGTTTACGTTGAATTTACACGTTGGATTCCAATGACACTATAACTACAATTTAACAAGCGTGGTTTACGGCAGAAGGACAGAAAACGGCTGGAATTCAGCCTATTCAGCGCACACCTCGTCCACTGATCATTGATTACTGTAATTGTCTCAATTGCATTGCCGCACGAGCCATTCTACAGCTCTGTTACCAGTAATGTCATTAGTCTCCTAACCCAGGTAACAAACCTGTTGACAGGATCCATAATCTCCCGGTAAGTGTCAATTTATCGGGAGAGCGGGACGGGCCGGGAACTCCAATCGAATAATATTTAATGAGACAAAAAGAGCATGAGGAATGATTTCGATAATTCAGAAACAATTCAATTTGTGTGTTTAAAGACTAGCGCTGTCGCAGCGCTCCCGGTAGTCAATGTGTACAAGGTGACGTCATAATAAGATCTTCTACCGGATGCATTGTGGACTGATAAAACGCAGGGGTTCCCCTGGATTGGAGATATTGGCAGGAAGATAGACGGAATACAGAGGTGTCATTTTTATTATATCGAGTTAACTTTTCTTGATGTGAAGATGACGAACAGAATAGAAACAACCTGATGCTGATGCCGTTGAAAGGTGTGCATTGAAAGAAGGTGATATTGAATTTCGTATTGTCTAGTGGTAGCAGCTTTCCAATATGTACGTCTGCTGTACGACATTCGCAACTGTGTCGGCTTTTGTTTCTTAAATCTTCTGTGAACAATATCTTCCAACGCAGGGTTATCAGGGAAAGCCTCTCTGACAGTTGGCTTGAAATCCTTGGCAAATCTGAATTGTCAAGGGGATCGATCTTAGCATTTCAGGTTAACAAAAACGATTTTTTTTTCGGGGGGGGGGCTTATCGATCTATGAGATTTGGTTGTCCGCCATATTTAATTGGGCCTTTCTTTGTGGTTTTTGTACGGATACACCTTGAAGACATAGTTTGTGGAAGTCTGTTTCACTTTCAGATATTGGGAAGTCAGAGCCGACTGGAGTCGGCGTCAGGAGAGAAACCAACAACAACATCAACAACCACAACCCAACAAAAAACACACGATCACGTGACCGGGTCAGAGGTCGACTGGAACACCAATGGTATTGGGAAGGGGGAGGGGGGGCGGGCTCACCCGGTACTAATGCAATTTGTGAGATTTGGGTCGCGCGAGTGGCCTGTCCCCGGCATATCTAATAGGAATAGCGTGCAAACATTTGCTGCAGCTAAGTGATCGCATTACACGCATGGATGCGGCCCTGCTCCCTCCGCCGCATCCTCCCTGCACTTAATCAATTAGATCGCCCACTCTGCCTATATTATGCGTTGTGTGTCCCCCGTGTTTGCATGTGTGTGTGTTTGAGATAGGAACCATGCCAAGGGTGGCTGGCCGTTTTTTCTCCCATCATCACCACCATCATCATGCGTGTGTGTACTTGCCCGCATCCTTGAGCACCGACTAAGAGTAACCGGTAAACACTGCAAACTACTCGAGCGAGCCGCGGACCGCATTGGACCGTGTGGAGGTATTCTCTACGGCCCAGGCCCTAGCCCTAGATAGATGGACAGATAGACACACACACCGTAGTCACCAAACGTCTCTCTAGACAACGGGACAACATCCCAGCGCTGATGTGGTTACCATGGCAACGAGGTGACAAAACGCTTAGGCGGTCCTCCTCCCGTGCGTCCCTTGGGAAGTGAGGCAGTGAGACATCGATGATGAGGCAGGCCTCGCACTGATAGCCATGATGCAACTATCGTCTTGAATATAACGTACACACGCATTGTTACAACCATAGAAGACGTGACCACCCAAACATGAGACATTAAACAGTTCATGTATTTCACATTACTCTGATTTTCTGACGAATTAACTACATTAAACTATACATCCGGGACCTGTATAAATCTGAAACTCTGTTACAGGTACTTGACTGTAATGACCAGTATCATTTTTAGCGGGAATATTTTCATATGGCTTCTTTGAATACGAATCAACTCCAACATGGAGTGTTTTACATGCTTTACGTTTCAAGCAAAATGATAATCTTACAAAATAATCTAATCGATAGATGGTTGCTTCTGACATGTAATAATTTGTTACTGATTGATATTGTTAACCATAACTTCTGCCGTTGCA